TTAGAAGAAATACTTACGGTATGTGTGTGTTAATATTTTAGTATTTAGATGTGGTAATTAATGCATGTAATATACCATTATACAGTAGTCTCACTGGCCAGACCCCCTACTTTGGTAGACGGCCAGTTCAAATGGCTTAGCTATAGTTGTTTTTAAGTCGAAGAACAAGGGACATTTCAGAAATCAGATTTTTGATGTGGATTTATCATGTGATAGTCATGTTTTGTTAGTCCAGACCTAACTATGATGTGGCATCTAACTATGTAGCTTGTGGAAAAGAAGTTGGTTTAGGTCATGACAACTATTAGGAGTAATGACTGTAATTACTGTAATTACAGTGTGCTTTTGGCGTAAAATTAATGGACAAAATGATCGTTAAAAATTAATGGCTTTTAAATAATGACAAACAGATGCTAATAACGTGAAATAAAATGGTGGCTTCAAATGGGACAAAGTTTTATTGGAACCAGCAATATACATGTAAGTCATCTATATACTTTTTCAGTACATGTACACCATATAGATGCAAAAGATTGCCATCGTCATAGGAACTACAGTGACAGGTTGACTGCACCTCCTCTTTGTCGCAATCAGCATAATGCATCATTTGATAGAGAAGGACATTGAAGGCTGATAAAGTGTTTTTAATGACCTGTGGGCGAAGCCCCCTGGTCGTTCCTATAATTGAATTCACTGTCGCGCTATCTATATATATTTATTTATTTATTTGTATGTCCACACTTACATTTCTTTTATACACGTTGTATTGGAGAAATAACAAACCTTAGCAACCACCTGCCCACGCTCCTTTATGTGACTGGGTGTAGCCATGGCAAACAAAATGGCGGCTTACACATTTGACAAAGTTAAGAGCTTTAATTCTAACAGCAAGAGAGCATAGAGATACTGTCTAAAGACTTCTCTACAAGCATCACAAGGTAGAGAGAGCCTCTATAAGTCTTAATAATGACCAAGTTGTATTTGTAAGGTGGTGAAATCAATTATAGGAATATTTTTTACCCTGTTACGCTTGTTAGTCTGTAGAAGCCTAGCATCATTTTCATGGCATTATCCTAGTCTATTATTAACATCAATATGTCAGCAGGTAGCATAATTATTATTTTCCTGATCTCTAAATGTAGCTGACATGGACAAGCTATTCTCTGTGTTATGCTTGCACTGAGGGATCCAACACGGAGCAATATTTTGTACGGTATGCCTGGATTCCGGAATTTCCGTTAAGGTATTCCAGATTCCTTTAAATTCCGGATTCCTATCGAAATTCCAGATTTTGTATGGATTCCATTTGGATTCTTTATGGATTCCGAATAATGACTGGATTCCTATTGGATCCTCGTGTCCCAGACTAATCTCCAGTGACTCGCTAGTGAGGTTTCCAGTGATGAGGGTCCAAGAAGGCTATTCCGAGGCTACTGTAGTTAAACTCTGACTTTTTTCAGTACCTGCTGTCCCTGGTAGATCTATATCTCATAGTTTTGATAATAATATTGATGATACTCAGATACTGAAACTATTATTATTCAGTACAGCCATCAAGTTACACATTATCACTGTATCTCCATAAAATTCTGGTAGCCTCAGTGCAGTAGCTAGTCTCGCCACGCCGCGAGACTATGCAGTAGCAATAAACATTAATCTCTCGTTATTTTATCACAGCTTTGTGTCTTCTTCTATGTTTGACAATAACTGAAAAACCTCATAAGACTGACCAGGAGAGAGAGGAATCATTTATATTGCAGTGAAATGCACCACAAATGTAAATCTGAAGCAATAAAAGCAACTATAATGAAACCTTTCCTGGATTTATTATGAAACTTTAATACATTTATCAGAAGCTAAGCTAGCAATAGAAAGAAATACCCGAAGAAATACCAATGAATACAGATTGAGACTGCAGAGCCTTGTACTTCACAACTTTATCTTAATTTTTAATAATCATTAATAACCTCAACTTTTATTAGTAGTTAATTAAATAATGCCAGTATAACTCCGGATAACATTGGAATTTCTGGATTCCACTGGACACTGGTGGATTCTCTTTGGATTCCAAGCAGAGTGTACTGGATTCCGGGGCATGTCGGACTCCTCGGCTTGCACTGGGGGATGATGAGAAATTTGCTGCTTCTGCTTCGATATTATGTTTGCCCAACTAATTGTTTCTGCTATACATTGTTAGTCATTGCATTTCTTCAGTTCCCAACCAACTCAGAATACTATAGGCTGAGTTTACATCATTTTTCATATGTTTTGTACACTTTCTAAACTATGGATAACTTTCTCTTTCTCAGTAAATCCAGTTGATCTATGATTAGTGCTATTTGTGTAAAGACTGACAACAATAGAAATTTACTTTTTAATTTTATTTTTTGCCATTCAAGTCACAAAGCATTCTCTTTTGCCATATTCTGTTTGCATAATGCCAAAAAGCCATTGCCTCAACTAACTTTAGGAAACTGAGATGCTGTTTTGTAAAGGATGGATCGTCTTTCTTAAGATGATGCAGTGGACTATGATGCAATGTGTCTTGTAGAAGTTATATTTTGTCCTGAAGAACAGCTGTAGTTAAGCCATTAGGCCATACCCTTTCCATCTACCCAAATGATAATAGGAGAGGGTCTAAAAGGGTCTGGTTCTAGTTATGGAACAAGACCCTTGTTGGTTGCAAACTGCTAGTACACTGGGGATCAACTGGAATATACTCAGTCTGGTAGCATGCGTTCATTCCACACATAATCTATGCAATGAT